ATGTGCGCGTGCGTGCATATGTGCAATTTTTATTTATGATATATTAATGATATATTTTCAAACATATATTATATAAACTGTGACGTTGCCGTCTCGCGCGCGTCCGCCGAGTCCCTCTCCGATCGAAAAAGCGCGGGCTGAAGGGCCGCGCCAGTCGAATCATTGCGAGAACCGTACCGTTACCTCCAGAGAGGCGTCATTAATTGAGATTTCGAGCGTAATATTAATTTCGTTTATGATTTTCTTTCGTATGAATAATTCATTTGGGAGCCTCATCGGAAGAAGGAGCGGAAAGTCGCTGAAGCGTCACGGAAAATACGATCGCCAATCAAGGAAGACCTTGAAGGGGCAAGGAGCCAGCAATTTGGAAACCCAAAACATCTAACGGCCAAACTAGCTACGGCACGACGGGATCAGGACCCGCACACATGATGCGCAACGCACGGGACAGCGAGGGGATCCTCGCGCAAGGACACAGGCCCGTGCGGATCCGGTCCCAGCGGAGGGACTGCAATTCTGCACCCGATGGCGTGACGCGGTCCCGGAAAAGACGGAAGGAAGGGTGCCAGCGATACTTCCGGCCAAACCGTTCACCTCAGACCCCGCGACGGCCCCGCGAAAAGAGCCCCAGCGAATTATTGTTTGTAATACCGGGGGCGCGCGCACCCCCGTTACGACCGTGAGCGCGCCGCCCGCCGGCCACAGCGCGTGATAACGCGTGATTGGTCGCGATAATACGCACCCTGTGTGCGCAGCCCCGGCTGGCCCACAGGTATCGATTCTGAATCGCGACGATCCAGGAGGAGACTGGCGCGAGCTTGCGTGCGAAATAGAAGCCTAAGCGAGAGGACCGTTTTGGCGAGAGAAAATACGAGAGCGATAGCGAGACGACTTCCAAAATTATACAATATAATTAATAAAACGATTTTAATAATCAAATAACTTAGTTTCTAAATAAACTTTACGTTATAACTTCAACAGTAATACATCTATGTTTAACTGTGCGATAACAAAAATGTAATCGGTAATAAAGAACGATGAATGGTAAAAGCCGAAGCAAAAATAACATGTTTATGTAATCATAAACATAAGCCTTTAAACAAACTATAATAATGAAAACGCTTCTTCAATAAATTGAACTCTGCTATGCGCATTGTAATCTAGTGTGTCCGTATCTTCTAATACTAAAAAGAAAAAAAAATATATAATTTCCGAACAACGAAATGCATAATCACGGAGACAAACTCAAATAATGTTAAATGAAATATAAAAATATTCGATAGCCATCTTTCTATACCGTTCACACACGTGCCGTGTCGTTATAGAAAAAAAAAAAAGTAATAAAAAAGTACTATAAATATATTCACGCATTATCCTTTTACATTCAGGTATGCGCGGTTATGCGAGCGATATGATACTGTGTCACTATAAAAGGATAACGATAATGCGATGGTAAGGAAAATAATATGTTTCTTCCACCCACATTAATCACTATAACAAGCTAACTAGATACAAGATACTCCTCGAATTCATCAATATATTTGGCACGTTTCTCTTCCACCAATAACTTATCGATGTATATGTCTTTTTCAGTACTGACGTCGATTAATCTTAAGCCCAGCACAGTGCCATTGGCCGGCGAGAGGTGATCAACCACCGATTCGGCGACTACTGAGACAAAGTCTTTATCAAGCACTAAATCCTTAAACCTGATACAATCGTTTACCGTCCAGTCAATATTCGTCGGCTCTATTCCTGATCATTGTTATAAAAAAAAAATAGATCATCGTTAAAATTCATGTAAAGAAATAATTCGAGAGATCAAGAAAAAGAACAATTATATATTTTCTTACCGACAAGTTTAGCCTTCACAGCTTGATATGGTAGCTTCATGAAATCACTCTTCAACGGCTGCAAGCTACTGCGCGACACTATCGTTACATCCCCAAAGTCGCAGAAATATACGGATACCTCGTTATCGCTAATAATATTGGTAACGTACACTCTAAAACAAAATCGAGCGTTGCTACTAATTGAGGAAAGTCTCTTTTACATTGAAAGATTGAATATATCGCGCACCTGTACCAATCATCTCGAAACTTGCCCGCATATAGCTTGCCCTCGCCGACAGTTTCCACTGACGGACCATCGTACTCACCGCAGTATTTTTGCAGATCGATCATCATCGTCTAAAAATGAAATGAGGTGTAGCGTAAGAATCTACCCCGGTTCGTTTGGCTAATCAAATAAACTTTGATGTGCATATAACCTTCAATTTGCCCGCATCGTTCAACGGCTGCACGATAAAATGTCCTGGATGTGCGGCTAATGTCACGTGAATATCAAAATATTGGCCGATATCAGATATGGTGGGTGGATTTAATTTACCAACAGACTCGAGAATGCGAGAATTCCTGCGTTCCAAACGTTTCTTTGATGACTTAATATTGTTGTTGCCATCTTCGTTGACTCTGCAGATACAAAGTATGTGTGTAAAGTATTTTTAGATAGATTCATAAAATCAATAGAGAGGTATAAAACAGTAAAGTTAATATTAATAAAAGTAATACACAGTAAAATAGAATGACAAAGAAATATAAGATGAAAAATACAAAGACGAAAAGTTCAAAAATAAAGATACAAAAATACAAGGCAAGAAAAAGGATAATCAGATGTTCCTCGACAGGAAATTAAAACATAAATATATTTACTTTGATAGTTCACTTTCATAAATCAATGATGTATTTATAGAGACCATCATGTTATTCGGTCCAATTCTCTTGAAAAGCTCCACTATTGGGATTCTAGATGGGCTGATATTAATGATATGTGCCAGAAGCAGATCCGTGTCTGACACCAGTTCGCGGAATCTCGCCACGAGGCTTCCGTTGTACTTCGATTGATCGAGGTGGTGCAGAAAGATCTGCATCGCCTGGTTTTTCGCGTGCAAATCCACAAGTATCAATCATCTTATCGTTATGAAATATCAAAGATTGAAACTCGACAGAAATTGGTTTTTACCTGCGGTGGAATGCAGTGCAAAGCATTTGAAACTTTTTCGCTCGTGTAAAACAGATCTCTTCTCGATATCGTGACGGTTTTACCGATGTCGAATAGAAACACTGTTACTTCATCCTTGTTGTTAGGCATGTTCTTCACTCGCGCCCTATACCACTGCGAGTCCCATTTTGCAAAGTACACTTTGGTTAAGTGGATCGCTTCCCTCGCCAAAGAGGTCGTCATGTTGTTTACAAATATTTGCGACAAGGCCTCGCTGTTCACCAGACTTCTCATAAACGAATTTAACTGCGCATAGACCTTACCGTACTCGTCTATGTGTGTGATATATAATTCGATTAACTGGTTCGTCTGCAATGTGAGAATAGTCAATGTATATATGTAGAAAACTAAGAGAACTGTAAAACTGAGACGGAATGTAATATAAATTGAAATTTTCACAATTACTTGTATCTTGGATGTGGTGTCAATGTCTCTTAAAATCTTGTCAAATAGAATTTGATTCACATCTACATGTCTGCCCTCTTTGTCTGTCCTGGTGTCATAAAAAGTCACCATCGTATACGAGCCGTACTCATCGGCGTTCGTGCCATGTACCTTGACTAAAAACATTTGATCGACCAAGAGATGATTCTCAATCTCCGTAATGAACTGGGTGTAATCGCGAAACTCTTCTAATCTCTCAAGAGCTACTCTTGTTGCCTGCGCAAGATAGAAATACGCGCGGATACGATTAACGTAAAAACGCAATCAAAACAAGAAATATGGCTAAAAGATTACTTGGGCTGAAAGGTTGCAGAATTTCTTGTCGAGAGGATGTAGCGCATCAAGTTTATATTGCTCGTCGTAGCCCTCGTCGATAAAGAAAACTGTGGCGAGTTCGGTCTCGAAGTCGAAATCTATACATTGAACTCGGTGCCAATTGTTGTCCTCGAGAACGGCATAAAAATCTCCAACGATACATTCCACCGATGGGATCGAGACAGGTTTTTTCTTATCATAATGCTTTGTCATTTTCTTCGTCATTTCCATGAAATTATCCTGGAAAAAAAAGGAGGGAGAAGAAAATAAAAATAAGTTTCAGTCGGTGAAAAGAAAAGCGAACGAATAATACTATACTTACATTATTCTCACACAAGCGAACCCAAATTTCGACGGTGCTTATGACGCAAGTGGCGTATACCTGCCAAGTGGTCATCTTGGGTACCGTGAGTTTACCGGGCGCAGCAGGCCCGATTGGGCTCAATTGTATCTTTTCATTAGACGAGAAGCTATTCTCGACAACATCCTTATATATAAATGGGGTAGAATTATTTCCCGATCGCTAAAGAAGAAAAATATAGGAAAGTTTAATTTTGATAAGAAGAAAATCGAAAGGCCGTATATCGTATGTATTACTTTCGAAGTCGGCGAGGCTCGGCAAAGTATCGTCGAATCGCCGACGCCCTTTTCCTGATTTATGTCCGCGCATTCCTCGATAATCCCCTGCCAGTTGTGGGGCAGAGCCTCTTTATATTGCTCGCAGTAATATTCGGGTAGTAGGTGCATAAAGACCCCGCTGTGATGCTTAGTTACAATGTTCAGAATGCGCTCCATCACCAATTTCTCGTCGACAGTCGTTATCTCGGGGCTCGACAACTCTTTGACAAGATTCACCAGAGCCAGGCGCGCTGCGATCTTCTCGGCTTCCTCCTCGGATACCGCGTCTTCCGGATACGTGTGAAATGTGTGTACACCAACCTGCGAAATTTATATATTTGTCAACATCGAAAAAAAAAAAAAGAAAAATAAGATGCCTGTACCTTCACACTGGCGTAGATGGTAATCTTGGCAGAATTTTTCTCCTTTTTTGAATACATTTTATAAACAGGTGTTGATAGATTCAATCTATTAGCATGAATCTGCAGATCTCTCCTAGGATCAGAAATCTGATGTGGTGGCATGATCTACAAGAATAATTTGATTGAAAGAACCCTTTAGCTAGATCGAGAGATATTCTAGTTCCTTGATATTCTTACCTGCGATTTTTCAAAAATCGATGGGATAGACGAAAACGCATGACCGTTATTACAGTTATCGATCAACGAGGAAGGCGTTCTAGGCATAATAGGAGTACTTTTAGGAGGAGAAACTTTGAGTCTCTCACTCAGTTTCGAGGATCTGAGCTCTGCAGTCTTTGGTTTCAAATTTATCACAGGAAATGCTGCTGTCTTGTCATTTAATACTTTGCACTTTAAATCTTCGATAGTCTTACAATTAGTAACGCTTTGGTTCAAAGTCGCTATACTCGGATTTATCGCGTTATCTGTCAGTCTCTGAAATTATTAATATATGATTAATGTTTAATGACGAAGATTTATCAAGAGTCTCGAATCGCTTGGAATATTCGTGCTCACTTTAATAGGAGAAACAGGCGGTGTACTCGAAGCAAAATTTGGCTTCTCATTATTAATCGATAACGGACACTGTACAATAGTTTCCATGAGAGGTAAAATGGGTCTAAAATATTATTTGTATTATAAATATATTATAAATTATTTATATTTCTTATATACATACAAATGCAAAATATATAATTAAACAATCTTAATCGACTAAATGAAAATAATGAAAACAATTTTATTTGTATATATAAAGTTTTAACTATCAGGAATATAAAACAACATATTAAACTGTATATAATAAATGATAAAAAAGATATTTAGATAGAAAAACAATATTTGGATTCATCTTTTTTTTTTCAAATACCTGCTGAAATTTGTATACAAATTACTCTTCCCGGGTGTTGATTTGGTAAAGGAACCAGGAGAATTTACATAACTGTTCTTTGTAGGTTGAAACCCATTGAAATTATTGTTATTTCTAGCACCAGGAGAAAAACCTTTGGTAGTATATCGAGGTGGACTCCGCTGAAAAAAAATTCTGTATAATTAATTGTAGCCATATAAATCCAACTAAGCTTTTTTGCGTGTCAAAGCAAGCATAAAATAATGGTTTTCTACAATTTGATACAATATGTATATCGCAGAACGCGTAAGTCAAATAATCGTCGAATTTTTTTTCCTATTTATTAATTGATATTTAACAATTAACTTGACGAAATGAAGTAAAGTATATTTACATCACAGCACAATTATATTCTCTTGAAAAATATCAAATATTGATAAGTGATTACTTTTTTAGATTGAGGTCGTATTTTTCGTCGTGTTTTTTGTCGTGAAATCAATTTCGTAAGATGCGCTGTTGTCCTAGAAGGTGTAGCTTCCACATACAGTTCCCCATTTTTTCTTGTTACAATAACTTCCGGTATATTACGTATAAAAGTTTCAAGGGAAGAATATCCAAATTGCTTATAGGGTAGCGATTCTCCTGCAACCATACGGTAATCATCTGTAAGAAGAAAAAGTTTCTTTATCAGTATTTTAAAATGATATATAAATTAATAACATATTAGAGTATTATAAGATTAATTATATCATAATATTTAAATTTCATCAGTGGTATTTAAAATTATGTAATAATAGTAAAATTGTTGTAATAATTTCATTATTTACCTCTTAACCTGTCTAATCTGATACCACCTTTGCACGATATCAAACATGATCGCAAATTCTTTACAACTTCGTCTTGACTCATGATAATTCTCTCTCATAAAAGAGAGAATACAGGAAGAAATATATTTAAATTCTCGGATATTCTAATTAATTGACCTGAAAAGAATTTCATAAATAAATAATATTGTAACAAAGTATAATTGTTCATCTGTTAGATTCTAAGACAAAGTCAAACAATAAAGGAATAAGGAAATTATATTGAAGATAAAAAGGCGGATAAAATCGCAGGACATCTTTTATTAGATTCAACTCTCTCATAATAAGAAATAAAGTAATATGTAATAAGTAAGGCTTGAGGATGGAGAGATGTAAAAAAGACGTTCATAGAACCTGCCAAAGTGATAGAATATCGGGAATGCGCGACGTTTGCGATTGCTGTTGAATACTTTATTAAATTTTGACACTTTGTGTATTAATAGTTAATAACGAGTTATATTTTGCCATCCAAACATTTACAAATACACCTTACAATGTAAAATAAAATAATGTAAAGGCTGTAATATTTATAATTAGATAAAATATGATGTAACACCCACAATGTGATATAAATACTCGCATAATACTTAGTGAGGATAGAAATTTGGAAAAGGTATACAGATATAGATAATTAAAAATCTTCCTTTATCCGTATTTTTCCATTATTTTTTCTTAAGAAACTGACACAATCTAGTCATAGACAAATAAAAATAAAGGAAAATGTGAGGAAAACATTTCTAAGTAATTCATATTACAATTTTATCACATTTATCTCAAGCCTATGATAAGAATTCATATTTTTTTAAGGATTATTTTGTTATTTGTTTAAATTTTATTTTCTTTTCGTTGATCTAATATGTTACATATTTAATAATTAAAGAATAATACTTTCATTTATTTTTTATAATTTGTTCTTTTTTATACTTAAAAGAAACAAAGTAAGGTATCCACAAAGGTATAGTAAGATATCTTTATGAAGTATCTTAAAAAGAAAAATTTTGGCAGACCAAAAATGAAATTTTCGACCACTGTTTGAAAAATTCTTGCAAAAAGTTGCACAAAATTGCGATGGAAATATACGATTGAAGTGCGCAATTAAACTGTGCGCATCCAGATTTAAAAAAAAAAAAAAAAAAAAAAAAAAAAAAAAAAAAAAATTTTTGATTTTTTTGAATTGCTTTCTACATACAAGATGCTTTAAAATTAATAAATAAACATTAATTCATGTGAAAAAAAAAAAAATAAATAAATTCATTGATCTCTTGAATTGCTTTCTACATACAAGATGCTTTAAAATTAATAAATAAACATTAATTCATAAATAAATAAATAAACACTAATTAATTAATAAACATCGAAATTGAAATTTGCATTGAAATCTTTGTCGGAGAATAAATTTTTGAAAACTACAAAATTAAATTATATTACTATTAATTAACGCCTTGACATCGTGAAAAATGCCAGATATCTTTTATTTAAAATAAAAAAAAAAAAGATACGAAAAATTGCTACTTATTATGGACACCTTGCATGTACCTCAAAAGCAAGATTATGCAAATTGCGGTTTATATATCATTGCGGATGTTGCAGTGTTGCGCACTGAGAGAACAATGTAGATTCGCGCGCCTGAATGAGGTTCGGGGTTCGGATTAAAGAGATACGAGATCCAAAGGACGATCTCGCAAGCGAGATGTCGCGTTCCCTCACCGTGTATATTGCCATATGCCGTAATTAACGGTAACGACGAATGTGATCGAGAGAACAGGATGACGATTTCTCTGCGCGGCGAATCGCGCGCAAGTAAAACGGTATTCGCCTGACGATAAGTCGGCCGATTCTAGGGAACGATCGAGGTCATCCATTAGCGGTGGAACGAATGTATATATTACGCGCAGGAATGTTTATATATGTGTGTACCTTCTCTCTGGTTCGCGCGCGACGAAATTACGCTCGGTCGCCGCTGGCGATGCGAGTCGAACGACTCGAATTTCGTCGATTTCGTCAACCGCTCTGGACCGGAATTCACGCGACCGCAACTTTACTCGTTGGTCTCCCTGAACCGGCTCTTGGACGGTTTACCAAATATCTTTTGGGAAGACGTACACGCAGACCACACACAATTGATGGACTGACCAAGACTGACTCGAACCTCGATCGTCCCGTTCCCGTCGTCGTTTCACGAGAGCCGCGCGCGATCGCGGAATCTCTCTCTCTCTCTCTCTCTTCTCCCACGCGACAACCTATCCGCTCGCCGAAGTGGGTCGCGGCCGCCAATCATGCGTTTGCCTCTTCGCTGACGATGAGAAACTCTGTTACGCGCGAAATTTTTTTTGAACCGCCGACTACTCTTGGCGAGATGCATTCCGATGTTTTTTTAATTTCAATTTTCGTTCGAGCTGCACGATTAGACCGATTTTTGTCGAGCCTAACTAGGATACAAAGAGCGATATATAAGATTTCTCTCTTATACTTCATTTTTCTTCGATTTTTTAATTCGCAATAGTTGAATCAAAACTTAATATCCATAAATTTTTATTCCAGTCAATTGTTTCTCGCAGCAGAATGAATCAGAATTGTTATGAATTGAATATTACATCGATAATATCATACATCTTTATCTTATAAAAATATATAAATCTTACGTGAAATTAACTGCAGAATATTACATTAGTTGCAGTTATTCCTCCTTTGATTCGTCCAACCTCGTATCCTGCATCGAGTGTAAATCAATTAGTACTTCGTATGCAATCGTAGATCAAAAAATTTATTATCTTGGAAAGAAATACGCGTACATATTCGAGATCTAAAGCAGTCACGGGCATAAAGTATAGGAAAAAGAAAAAAAAAAATGAAACTTCTTACGAACTGATGACATTAATCTCTCTTATCGCTCAAGTATCATTTTACGTAGAGAGTCTGCGACAGTTGCAGAACTTAAAACGAGCCAAGTATAACCGTTATCTATCTCTCGATAAACTGTAAAGGACAACTGCAGAAGACAAAAGATATTCGATAGAAATGCTGCAACCATCTCTCTAATCGTTTTCTTAAATTAAAGATATATGTTTAGGAAAGGAAAATACGCAAGGGAAAAATGCAAAAAAATGCGATCAGCGGACGCAATAGTTGTAGATGCTGTTAAGCAACAATTGTTAGCCGCTAACACTGATCGGTTTTTTTCAAATATCTATACCTCGACTTGGTTTTTCTGAAAACTGATCGTCTAACCATTACGTTCGCCGAACGCGATTTAATCCATTTTTTTATTTTTATTGTTATTTTTAATCGGACTTTTTGAAAACAATGTGCAATTACTTCAAAAGTGCCATTAAATTGATATAAAATTACATGTGACAATCTTTGTTTCATTTCTTTTTATTTTCTTTTTCTCAATATTTCTATTTTTTTCTGAATTTATAATTGTGAGTTAATATAAAATTACATATAATAATCTCTCTTTTTTCATTTTTTCCCCCCAAAGTAGACGCGATTAAACTTTTAAATTTAAATTCTAAATATAGGTTTACGTATATTTTTACGCAACACATTTATTTTCAAAAACAGGCGGCGATTCGTGTGCGATTGTTGCTATCAACGCTTAGAGTAAAAAAAAAGAGAAAGACATGAATATATCTTGAAAGAAAAATTTATTATCATAAGACTTTTTTAGATGGGGGAAGGCATTTTACATTCAAATATATGAACTTAATCGCGTCTAATTCAAAAAAATAAATAAAAAAAGAGAGATTATCATATATAATTTTATATCAATTTAATCGCAAATTTAAAATAATTGAACACTGTTTTCAAACAAAAAGTCCGACCTCACAAAGCACGGTTTCTTATTCCTTTTTCGGTGCAACAGCTTGTTTGGCTTGATGAGCCTGTAACACGGCCACGGCCTCTTCGACCTTAGCTTTCAAGGATTCGTTGTGCTCCAGCATATGAAGCAACTCGCTGTTATCGATCTCCAACAGCATACCGGTGATCTTGCCGGTCAGCGACGGATACATGCATTGAATGAGCGGGAACAATCGCTCGCCCAGCATCTGCTTTTGCTCCTGCGGCGGCGCCGCTGCCAACATCGACGCGGTGAGCGGCTCCTGGCCTTGGATATGTACGGCCTGCTGTACCGAGGGGCCGCTCGGTGCAGGTAGCGCCATAGCCGTTTGCGGCGGGTTGCGCATGTTCGCGGTGTACTTGTAGTTCGGCGGACGGCTCTGACCGGGCGAAACCCCGACAGCGGGCCCGGCCATGGAACGGCTCTGCATGTTGGCACCACCGACTGCTTGTTGACCTTGAAGGAAAAGAAAAAAATATCAGTTGTGCGCGTGGGGATCTCTTCTCTTACGATAATAAAATTGAATATAATTATTATAACGTTATATCTATTTAGACGAGTAATATTGAACATCAGATGTGCACTGAATGAACAATGCATCATTCCAATTTTTTTCTGGGGAAGAATTGACTATTTTCGATAATTATGCGATAATATGATTGACATAAAAAATAACTATAAGATAATCAACTGCAATCAAAAAGTGAGTTTTGTGATTGTGTCGGTGGTAATGATCGTTTCGAGTCACATGACTTTATATATATATATATATATATACCATTACACCGATGTACACATAGAGACGACGGACTTTAAACTTTATTTACAGTACTATAAACACACTTCAGATAACACAAACAAGAAACTTTAAATGTATACGTTCGCGTACCCTCAATTCCGTTGAAGGACTGTAACGGTTTCATCTCTGCTATTCTTCATAAAGTTCTTTTTCGCTACATTATTTGTAATAATATTATCAAAGTCTTGAGAGAATAGCTTCGCATATCGAGTCTTGAACGTTAACCAATGTTTTGATATTTTTGAAAGACAATTATTTTTGCAATATATATGTTTTTCATATAAATCTTTCCATATTCATGTAATTATATACATATGAATTATATTTAATAATTTCGATTTAAGCGAATATTTAATATAAGATTAGATAGTTATTATACAATTAACTCGCATCCAATTATGTACTTTTTATGAATTAGAAATCGAGATTATGATATATCGATCTAATTTGAGAAAAGTATATCATTAGTCACTTTAAAGTGATACAAAACTCATCAGTTGTGAGAATGTTAACGAGTCATTTTTATATGTTTATCTCTTATTTCTATTCTCTCTTTATAAATATTTTTTAAAAGTATACACACATTAAGTTGTTTTTGAAATTTATCACTATTTGAGTCTCCTATTTATCTATTTATGTTAAGAAAGATAACCATTAAATTATATTAAAATTTTGTGTAATTTGTTGGATGTCAAAATGATCACATACATAGATATGGAAGTAGTATTATAGGAAATCCGATAATGGACTTACACAGATTGCACACTCTTTAGAATAAATAATAAAATTACTTAAAGAAAATAAACTCTTTTATTATATATAAAAAAATATAGAAAAATATATATATTCTTTTTTGCAATATGTTCTCTTAAAACCTTCTATTTCAAACAGATATAAATAGAAAGTAAATTTAGTCAATAAATTAATAATCTCTTTTATATAAGAAATCTCTTTCAAAAAAACATTTATAGATATATTCAAAAAAAATAATTTCTATTCGTCCACGCTTTTTAAGAAATTAAAATTCTTTCAGTTTTATAAAGATTCGAAACAGTCTAAAGTGTTTCGAATTTTTGTAAGATATTAACTTTTTGTAAGATAACTTTTTAATACAATGAAATAAATACAAATGAGATGATAATGACGAAAACCTAAGCAAAAACTTGAATCATAGGTACCGTGCAACGACTACGTTTTTTGCATCTTTTCATACCTGTGATAGGTCTGGCGGACATGCTGTTACGCAAGGCGCCAGCCTGTGCGGCAGGGGCGCGCGGCGCAGCTCGGAAAGGTGCGGATTGCATGGATGCGAATCCGGAGTTTCCGGTCTGCGCGTTCGGTCGTACTTGATTCGGTTGCGCTGGCCAGCGCGGAGTGGCGCGGATCTGAGCCATCTGAGCAGGTCCGTAGAAGCGCTGCGGTTGCGGCAATGTGGGAACGAAGTAACTGCCGGCATTACCAGGCTGGAATATCTGGCCCATTTGTTGCATGCGTACGTTCGCCATGCGTTGCATGTATTGAGAGGCGAGATGCGCCTTACGATCCTCCTTCCGTTGCGCCAGAGCGACATAGAGCGGTTTCGAGCCCACAATTCTTCCGTTCATCTCTGTGACAGCCTTGGTGGCCTCCTCCGGCTGCGAGAAACACACGAAGCCGAAACCCTTACTACGACCCTCCTCCATCATTACCTTCGCAGATGTAATCGTGCCAAACGGCGTAAATTCCTTGCGCAGACGCTCGTCGTCGATCGTATCGTCCAGATTCTTCACGTAGAGGTTTACACCCTGGTAGCGATTCAATCGCTCGATCTTCAGTTGCTCGAACTTTCGTTTGAGCTCCTGCTGACGCTCAGCCTTCTTCTGGGCGCGGCCAACGTACATGCACTTGCCCTCAGAGATCTCCTTGCCGTTCAGCTCGAGCACCGCCTGCTCAGCCGCGTCCGGGTCCTCGAACGCGACGAATCCAAAGCCGCGCGATTTGCCATCGTCCTTGCTCATCACTTTATGACTGGTAATGGTCCCGTATTTCTCGAACATTTCTTTGAGTTTGTCGTCCGTCATGTCCTCACCGAAGTTCTTCACGTAGACATTCGTGAATAGCTTGGCCTTCTCGCCCAATTCCTTTTCGCGTTCCTTGCGTGGGATAAATTTACCGACGTACACCTGTGCGCGTGAACAGAGAAGAGACATGTTAGTATGTTGTATCGACAAGTAAATCGATTGAATCTTTTACTTTAACGATAAAGGAATAAGAAGCGTTATACTTTACCTTTTTGCCGTTCAACAACATGCCGTTGACTTTGTCTATCGACTTGTTGGCCGCCTCCTCAGTCTCGAAGTGGACGAAACCGTATCCTTTAGAGGCGCCCGACTCGTCCTGCGCGACCTTGCAGCTTAGTATGTTACCGAAAGCGGAGAATGTATCATACATTGCTTTATTGTCTATGTTTTTGTCTAAATTCTTTATGAATACATTTCCGACGCCCGATTTACGTAGGGAGGGATCACGCTGGGACCACATGATTCGAATAGGCCGCCCCTTTATCATGTCAAAGTTCATAGTATCGAGGGCGCGTTCGGCTGAAACATAAATACCCGCAAATGTATTTAATGCAGAAATTCTCTTGGGAAATGTAAAAGAAAATTTTAATGTGCCGTTGTAAATTTTTTTTTTAAATTTCTTATCATAAAATAAATTTACGGCTGTATGTACAAGTGTCGTTTGCGCGACTGCGATTAAAAAGTACTTGAAGAGATAAAGTTAGAAAAATTTTACGCGAAATTTTTAAACTGTACAAGATTAAATTATCAAATTAAATTAATTTATTGGCTTTCTTTGTATGATTTCGTCTATTGTATCAAAAGAAGTAAATACTTGTCTGATAAGAAAACTCGAGATATTCTATATTAAGGTGATAAAAAAAATCAAGTAGCAGCGGCATTGAATTGATAACAAAAGAAAAGTTAATAAAATTCAAGCGATATAACATAAATTTCAAAAGAAAAAGATGAAAAAAGCGAAATCGAAAGTTTTCGTATTGAACCTCTACCTGTGTGGTAGAAGTTCAAGGTTAAAGAAAATAAATTAATTAAAGCCGATTATCTTTTATGACTGAAAAAAGTGTTTTATACTAGTTTCTAAATCTATTCGTTTAGCTACACTTTATTGCACTTTCTGCATCTTTAGAGCAAAAATTGACGCTATGACTTGGAATTTCTACGAAAAAGTGAAAAAAGAAATATAATTTAGAAGAATCTCTCAGTATTTTCCTATCTATTTTTTTGCAATATATTTACGACCATGAACTGTAACTATAGAGATTCGTTTATTTTTACTGAATTTTCTAAATTTTGCTTCGATACAGCTATTATATTTAGTTCAATGCAAGAAATGCAGTTAGAATATAGAACTAAACCAAAAGAGATCTAGATGAGCATGGATAAGCGTAGATAAAAATGTGACAATAGACAAAAAGGGAAAAAATCTAGGAAGTAGCTATGGCCAGTTTCTTTGCCTTTTTTTTATTATCGAGATGTCTATTTCAGGTAGAATACAAAGACAAAGATAGAAAAAATTGTTTTCAGCTTTCCCTTCTCTTTTTGTCGGATGTACCAGACCTTTGCATCGCCACGGGAAGCAAGTCCAAAGATTAAACAAAGGCGCGGGACATTCTTTGATTTTTCTTTTCAAAGATACAACGGACATCTGTTTCTTGGAATTTCTTTTTTCTTTTATTTTTCTTTTCGGAATCTTTGTATATCTCGTGTTCGATAGAAAAAGGATACATACAGAAGAGAAGTACGAAAAATTACAGTCTAAAAAATTAACTTTATCAGCCTGAAACGAAGCGAAAGGTTCAAACTCGCGCGAGTCACAAAGCTAGTCATCGAAATACGCAGCATCTACATTTGCGTGCGCAGCTACACACTTTTCTAGATTTCTCTCCCTCTCTCTCTTTCTAGGCCATTTTCATCTTACATGCGCGAAACGCGTGAAAAGCGCGGGGTGACACGTGCAAAGCCGAAAATTTGCATCAGTTTTCGCATGACCGCGAAGCATCCGATATTTCTCTCGAGAAAAAATGTAATGACAAATGCAATGAAAAAAAATCTGATTAGTAAAAAAAAAAAAAAAAAAAAAAAAAACAAAACACCCTTTCCTCTCCCCCTTCGTTGCGAGGCAGTTTGACCGTTAACTACCATCGTGGAACGACGGCGGACAGTGGACGACGGACGGCGACGCGAATCCAATATGGCGGACGGCAACAGTGGGCACGTAACGTGCGGCACGTGTGCGAGGCACATGCAGCAGGCGGTCGCCATTTGCGTGCGCGCGCGCGCGCGTGCTCGGGGACCCACGTTGCGTCATACATTCGCAATGACATGGGATAGCACGTAGAAACGATAAATTGTAATATGATGACTCACCGTCAGCCGGTTGCTGAAAGTTGACATATGCGTAGCCGAGCGAGCGACGGGTGATCATGTCGCGGCATACGCGTATCGATAGTACAGGACCTGCCGACGAGAACTTTTCGAACAGCATCGCCTCGGTGATGTCGGTATGCAGGTCGCCCACGTAGAGCGAGGCCATCGGGTAATTGGGCGCTCCGGGATTCATGATGCTGGCGGCTGCGGAGTATCGTGCTTCTTCGAGTCTTCACCGGGTGGAGAAAGAGAGAGAAAAAGAGAGAGAGAGAGAGAGAGAGGGAGAAAGAAGATATACCAATATGGATGGATCGAGAGAGCGGTGCTCTTTCCAATTCCCTTTGGCTTCACACGCGCGAGGTTTTTCGCTTCTCGCCCCCTCCTTCACCTCCGCCGCCTCTTCTTCCTCGCAATATGGCTCGTCCTCTCTTCGACTCGCGCCAAGTCCTCTCTTGTCTCGTATCGCGTTGCGTTGCGTCCCGTCACTCACACACTGCCAGGGTTACGACGGTTTTCGCCTACGGTTTTGCGATTTTTTTGTATGCGTTTTTTTCGGAAACTTTTTTACTTTTTTTTTGGGTTTTTATAGAAGAGTTAGTTTCACGAATGAACGTAGGTTGTGTGGCCTATTTCGGCGAAAGAGGAAACACACAACCAAACGTGAACACAACTCTACTCTTACTGAGGCAGAAGAG